TTTAGCATACCTTTATACTAAACCTTACAATGTGGCTTGAACTTGTAAATCTATTTTGTATCACAGTTGTAAATACCTACAAACTTATGAAAATAATGTCATCTTATGAGTTTTATCTTTGTATGAACTTTTTTTACTAATTAAAATACACTAAAATTGTTAGTCATTTTCTCATTGGTAGTAGCCTCTTCACTGAACAGTTTTCTAGAACCGATGTGTCACTGGACATTTTGTTCTGAAATATGTTGTTTAAATGTCCAAAACAATACATAAACATAATACTTGTTGTCTTGCTAGAAGTGCTTGGAGCCAATTGTTTTTGTTAAGATTACATCATGGCTTTTATTAGGGGTCTTTTTTACTGGAACTTTCCATGCTTGGTCTCATTTTAGAAGGGATTATATCTCCAAGCTATAATCCTTTATTAACTATGGTAGCTTTCCAAGTGTAGAGGAGAGGTATGTTCATAGCTCCTAGTGTAAGGCTGTGGTGTTTCCATGTGACCTTACACTGCTGTTCTACAGCACTGCAAGTATCTAACTCAAAGCCACTTCTAGCTTTTCCCCCTCTTTTTAAAAGGGGAATACTTAAAGTGAAAAGAATTATGTCACTAATATCAGTGATGGGTTTCAGTACTCAAGATATGGAATTGGGATTGTTGACTTCCCGGCATGCTGTTAACTTGGTCACATTGCTTATCCCATATATTTATGAGAGCTTTATTGTGCTACACACTTAAAAAGATAACCAGAAATAAAAATGTACATACCATATGACCAAATGAATGTTAGTTCAAGAATCTAAACTCAGGTTCTGACAGTTGGGAATTTAAACTGTAAATCTAAGTTTACAAAACATACGTGTATGTTTCTAGGTATATCGTAGGTAATCACTTGTTAGTTTTAACGGCTGGTCTTAAATGTGTGCCCATCCAAATAAGCAGTAAATCTATAAAATACTTATCAAAAGGTTCATATGACCTAGATTTAACATTCTTGGGGTACTATGAATTGAGCCCTGTGAAGTTTTTTTTATATATAATTTTTCATTTTATTTTTGGGGAATGTGGTGGTGGTTTTGTTTTATCCCTTGGGGAATAGGGTGCCAGGTCCTGCTCCCAGGGGGTCGGGGGCCCTGGAGGGGGGGGTTGCAGAGTGAACCCATCCTACACTTGCGTTGCAGTGGCACCTCCTGTCCCGCAGGTCTGGGCCTGGCTGCCTGCTGTAGGTGCTGTGACCTGGCATCATGATGCCAGAAGGATGGCTGGGCCAAATTTGAATGAGAGGCCTTGTGATCTGGTGTATAGGGTCACAGTGCCACTCTCAAATTTTGGCCCCAAACGACAGATGCCACTGGTTTGGGGTGAGATTTTTGTTGTTGTTTATTTCATTTTGTGGTGTTTTGCAATTAAAAACGTGAGCCTTTAACTATGAAGCATGGCTCTGGAATTTACACACACACATTTGACTTTCACATGTTTATATTCTTTACTATGTAGAAAGCTTCACTTGTTAAAATGTGGGTCTGTTCTGTTCTGTTCTTTCTTGTGGATGGTCACCAGTCTTGTAAGCTCCCTGGGTCTGGGTAGTGATCATTCAATATTATAACTTTGCGTCTCTCAGGCACGCCCCCAGGTGCCGACCCTGTCTGGATTTAACTGTTGTTGCCTTTCAATGTTAATGTAAAAGTAATCCACGACTGCTGCATGATTTCCTCCCTTCTGTAAGAGAACTTGTGCTGCTTGTGTATATATGGCAACGTTCTATTTCCATTGTGTTAATATCAGGATGAAAAAGCTGCATTTCATAAATGCTTCTTATCACTTTCTGGACCATATATTCCAGTACAATTCCAGTATTTACAGAATGTACTTAAGGTTTGTCTCATGGGGCAATTATTCTGATGTTAGTTTTAAATTACAGATTAATCTGCTGCATGAGTAGTTTTGCACCCCTGATATGCTGTTTTTATATAATTACTCTTGGGAAAATAGATCTAGGAATTACTGGTTTTTTTATCAAGGTCACATGATATGAGAGAGAGAGAGAAAGAAAAGCCTCAGATATTGGAGAAATTCTTTAGGACAATGATGCAACTACACTACATTGCTAAACTAGAACTGAGGGTGCACTATATGTAATGAATAGATTGCTCACACTGTAAGACATCATGTGTGTGTTCCCATTCCTTTTAATAATCTGCTCTTTTACTATGATTCATGGCTTGGGTGAAAAAACTCTGCTCATAACTAATTGTTAAATAGACACATGTATAGAAAGCATGCTCTTCCATAATACAGTGGACACTTATTAAATGTGTTTTACTCCTTTTAGCAGCTATTTATTTAGAAGCCTGTGCTACTTTACAAAATGGTCTGTATGGTAGAAGGTGAAAATACTCAAGTCTATTCATTTAACAAATACTTTGAACTCTCATGTGAAGTAGTTATGAAAATTTTATTTTTGTTTAATCTGAATGTGGCCCTTATGTCAGCTTTACAAGTTTGAAGTTCTTTACCCATGGATGAGTTGTAGCTTAGCAGTAGCAATTTGTGCTATCAGTGTGTTTTGGCAGGATTTACTGCTAGGATGTGAAGGTAGCAGAGTCTCTGTATTCACTCAGGGCTTGTCCACACTGAAAACAGTGCAGTGGTGCAGCTCCCCTACCCTGCGATGCAGTAGCTAGGTCGACAGGAGAATCATTGGGGGTGTGGATTTTTGTGCTTATACTGACCTAATCTCCTAGTGTAGACCAGGCCTCAGTTTCTGCTGGATTTACCAACTATTTACTCTTAGGGCACATCTACATTTGCCAAGTTACAGCGCTGGCAGTTACAGCGTGGCTCAGAGAGCGCCAAAGGAAAACTGCTGTTGTGTGTTCACACTGACACCTGCCTGCGCAATAGCGTGTTCACACTTGCGGCGCTATTCAGAGCAGTGCACCCTGCACCGGTTTCTCTTTTGCCGCTAAGACTTGTGGGAAGGCGGAAGGCGTCGCGGGGCATCCTAGGTCCTGTCCCAATGCCCCGTGATGCATTGCTTCGCATCCCAGCAATTCCTGTGCTTCTGTCCTTTGGCACCATCTTTCAACAGTTTGTGTACTGCGCGCCCTGCCCTGCCTCTTTCGGTCTGCAGGAATTGATCCTGAGCTGTTGACCAGTATGCTGCTTGCAATGACCAACACATCACGAGTGGCAGTGGAGTTATTCCTTAAACTACAAAGGCAAGAGGAGTGCGACATTGATCTTGCCACACATACTAGCTACGACACAAGATTGCTTGTGGCATTCACAGAGGTGCTGACCACAGTGGAACACGGCTTTTGGGCTCAGAAAACAAGCGCTGAGTGGTAGAATTACATCATGATGCACGTCTGGGATGACGAGCAGTAGCTGTAGAACTTTCGCATGAGGAAAGCCACATTCATGGTACTCTGTGATGAGCTCGCCCTAGCCCTGCAGCGCAAGGACACAAGAATGAGAGCTGCCCTGTTGCTGGAGAAGCATGTGGCGATTGCACTGTGGAAGCTGGCAACTCCAGACTGCTACCGATCGGTCGCTAACCAGTTCAGAGTGGGAAAGTCGACCGTTGGAGTCGTGTTGATGGAAGTGTGCAGGGCCATTAATCGCATCCTGCTCCGGTAGACCGTGGCTCTGGGCAACATGCTTGACTTTGTGGATGGCTTTGCACAAATGGGCTTCCCTAACTGCAGAGGGGCACTCGGCATGCACATGCCAATTTTGGCACCAGCCCATCTAGCCACGGAGTACATTAATCACAAGGAGTATTTCTCAATAGTTCTCCAGGTGCTTGTGGATCACCATGGGTGTTTCACAGACATTAATGCAGGCTGGTCCAGAAAGGTGCATGACGCACATATCTTTCAAAACACTGGCCTGTTCAAGAAGCTGCAAGCAAGGACTTTCTTCCCTGACCAGAAGATCACTGTAGGGGAAGTTGAAATGCCCATCGTGATGCTGGGAGACCCTACCTATCCCTTAATGCCATGGCTCATGAAGCCATACATGGGGCAACTTGACAGCAGCAAGGAGTGGTTCAACAACAGGCTGAGCAAGTGCAGAATGACTGTGAAGTGTGCATTTGTCCATTTAAAAGCCCACTGTATGGGAAGTTGGACATGGCCGATGACAATATTCCTATGCTTATAGCCTCATGCTGTACACTCCATAATATCTGTGAAGGGAAGGGTGAAAGCTTCACGCAGGGCTGGACTGCAGAGCTCAGCACCTGGAGGCTAAGTTTGAACAGCCAGAGACCAGGGCTATTAGAGGGGCACAGCGCAGGGCCATAAGGATCAGGGATGCTTTGAAGCAGCAATTTGAAGCTGAAAGCCACTAATAGCTGTTGCTATGCTTGGGATTGCAGTGCTTGTAATGCTAAGAGGTGATTGATGCATGTGATGCAAGAAGGGGCCTTAACATAATTGTATGTTGCTTTACAGTGCTGTTTTTGCTTTCACTTAATAAAGATTGCTTTCAAACAAACAATTCTTTTATTGAAAGACAACAAGCAGAGGAGAGAATCAAATGAAAAAAATCATCAGCAAGGAGGGGGGTGGGGGAAGGGAAGGTCTCAAGAGGAGGAGGGGTCCTGGGACGGCTACAGATTTGTGTACGTCGAAGGATCATACCCAACCTTCTCCTTTGGAATACGATGCAGCGGGTGCTGTACTTCAGCAAGGCCAAACTGCAGAGGGATGGGTTTTGAGTGCAGTGGGTAGTGGGAGTCCACACTGCTGGACTGTGAGGAGGGAGGAGTGGAGCTGCGGGTAGAGAGTGGAGCCAGGAGGTTGATATCAGTGTATTGGCAATGTGTGGGGAGCGCATGGGAAAGAGTTTTGCGACAGCAGCTTCAGGGGAGGGCGGGCGCAGAGCTGCTTAGTTTGAAGAGCTAGTATCGCCTGGAGCATGTCCGCTTGGCGCTCCATAACTTCTTAAGAGCCACTCCGTGGCTTCTTTCTGGTGTTCCACGTTCTCCTTTCGGTCCCTCTTCTCGCTGTCCCACCACTCCTTCAATTCTTTTTTCTCAGCAGCTGAGTGCATCATAACCTCACGCATAAAGTCCTCCTTAGTCCATCTTGGCCGCTTTCTAATTCTGCGCAGCCATTCTGCCGCCAATAACAAAGAGGAAGGCTGTGCTCCCAAGATCATCTCTGTGAAGTTTAAATGCAGCATTTTACAGAAGCGGTATTGTTTGCAACACAGACAACACTGTTTTAATACTTTAAAATACAGTCAGTACTTACACACCTGTCACTAACTGGCTGACCCCAGGCAAGCACACATGAGCCACAAGACCCCCAAAATGGTGAGTAGCCGCAGGGGCAGGGCAGTGATTTCCCTACCCCTCCTGAATTTTCCCAACACCTCCCCCCCAGTTTTGTGAACTAGTTACATGCCAATTTAGTGACTGTTTGGAAATTTAAATTGAAATTGAAACATTAATACACATTTTAAAAGCATATACAATGTATGATAAAATACATGTATCTGAAAAAGTATAAAAGATTTGAAAAGTGTGAACATAGGCTAGCTTCCTTATACAGCTGTAGTTTTTTATGACAATGTCAGTGCATTCATTTTGGTGATGTTGGTCAACCTATCAGAGGGGTAGCTGTGTTAGTCTGGATCTGTAAAAGCAGCAAAGAGTCCTGTGGTACCTTATAGACTAACAGACGTATTGGAGCATGAGCTTTCATGGGTTGCATGAGCTTGCATCCAACGAAGTGGGTATTCACCCACGAAAGTTCATGCTCCAATACGTCTGTTAGTCTATAAGGTGCCACAGGACACTCTGCTGCTTTGGCCAACCTAATAATTTCAAATGATGATTTGTAAGCAATCTCCCTGACAACTAGTGATGAGCTGGCGGAAAAGGCTTCAGGACCAGATTGTATTTACATTCACTCCTAATCTACCTAGGTATCTACAAAACAGAGCTGTGTTGTCCAAGTGATAGATTTTGGCTGGGGTTGGGTTACAAATCACTTGAATGTGGGGGGAGGATGAAATGTTGTTCTTATTGTATGAATAAAGGGCAGTAGAACTGTACTTAGCCTGTGCTGATTGAGGGCATCAAGAGAGAGGGTGGGGACCTGTCCCTCTCCACTGTTTAAAGACAAACTGATTAGGATCCATAGATAGTCTTTTGTTCTGTTAAGTGACCACTGCAGCTGAAATCACTGATAATCAGGTCTAAGTGCTTAGTCCTGCTGTGGGGACAGTGTTCCTGTGGGGACAATGTTTTTGTGTAACAGACAGCCCAGACTGCACTAGCAGCGAGGTTCCCCCACTGAGAGCTCAGCTGAAATCACTGAGAGCTGGGTGGAACCTCAAGAGACCAACTCGCAGAGGTCACAGTGGCAGGTGGCAGCAGAAGGTGACTGCGCAGGGCCATTGGCAACAGAGTGGTGGAGTGAACGGTGGCATAACGAACAGCAGTGGCCAGAGCGAACAGTGAGCAGCTGGAGGAATGAGCAAGGTGCCTTCTTGCCCCCGACCTGGGAGGTGTACTCACGTGAAAGCACCTCTGAATTCTGAGTCTCCACTGACCAAGGACAACACCAGTAAGTGGGGTGCAGTGGAGAGAAAAGTGAGGGGCACGTTAAACAAATATTTGTTTGTTGGACTATATTTTAGTGACTTTGCTCCAGAATGCTAGATTTGTGACTGGAAATGGAAACTTATATAAATATGTTTCCTAGTAGGCCAAAATTTTTAAAATGCATTATTTGTCAAGGTTGTTATCTCACATCGTTGCTATCTTGAGAGGTCATTATGTTGGGGAGTTTCTGTACTAAACATTTTTATTATTATAATTAATTTTTACATAAGAATGGCCATACTGGGTCAGACCAATGGTCCATATAGCCCAGTATCCTGTCTTCCGACAGTGGTCAAGGCCAGGTCCTTCAGAGGGAATGAACAGCACAGGTAATCATCAAGTGATCCATCCCCTGTTGTCCATTCCTAGCTTCTAGCAAACAGGCTAGGGAGACTCAGAGCATGGATGTTGCATCCCTCCCCATCCTGGCTAATAGCCACTGATGATGGACCCATTCTCCAGGAATTTATCTAGTTTTTTTTAAATCCTATTATAGTTTTGGTCTTCACAGCATCTCCTGACAAAGAGTTCCGTGGGTTGACTTTATGTTGTGTGAAGAAGTACTTCCTTTTGTTTTTTTAAAACCTGCTGCCTATTAATTTCATTGGGTGACTCCTAGTTCTTGTGTTTATGTGAAGGATTAAATAACATTTCCTAATTCACTTTCTTCACACCAGTCAAGATTTTATAGACCTCTATCATATCCCCCCTTAGTCGTCTCTTTTCGAAGCTGAAAATTCCCAGTCATTTTAATTTCTCCTCCTGTTTCATACCCCTAATCATTTTAGTTGCCCATCTCTGTACCTTTTCCATTTCCAAGATATCTTTTTTTGGGATGGTGTTACCGAAATATCGGGTCCACCTAGCTGAGAGCCAATAACAGCCAGACAGGGATAAGGAAGAGTTGCTTTATTCTGCAGAAGAAAGGAGAGCTTTGCACCTTAGTACAAAAACTCTGTCTTACACACATTTTACAGATCCTTTATACACATTCAGACAAAGGTCCTTGCAGTGTTAACACTTGATTGGTGGTTGTCAGACCCGTGCTTTTGCTATCTGGTCAGTGAAAGCCGGCTTGGGACCAGCTCCAACTACCGTAAGGCCTTCAAGGGAAGACAGTTGAAAAGTTCAAGTTAATGTGTACTTGAAGCGGCTGCTTCCCCCTAATGGCCCTGGTTGACATAAAGGCTGCTCTGTTAAGGGGGGGGTCACTAGTAACTTTCACAATGGGGTGACCAAATCTGCACACAGTATTCAAGTTGTACACGTATCATGGATTTATATAGAGGCAATATGATATTTTCTGTTTTATCTATCCCTTTCTTAATGATTCTCAACATTCTGTTTGCTTTTTTGGCTGCCGCTGCACATTGATTGGATGTTTTCAGAGAACTATCCACCGTGACTCCAAGATCTTTCTTGAGTGTTAACAGCTAATTCAGACTCCTTCATTTTGTATGTATAGTTGAGATTGTTTTCCAATGTGCATTACTTTGCATTTATCAACACTGAATTTCATCTGCCATTTTGTTGCCCAGTCACCCAGTTTTGTGAGATCCCTTTGTAACTCTTCGCGGTCTGCCTGGGACTTAACTATCTTGAATAGTTTTGTATCATCTGCAAATTTTGCCACCTCACTGTTTACCTATTTTTCCAGATCATTTATGAGTATATTGAACAGTAATGGTCCCAGTACCGACCGCTCAGGGATACCACTATTTATCTCTCTCCATTCTGAAAACTGATCATTTATTCCTACCCTTTGTTTCTCATCCTTTTACCAGTTACTGAGCCATGAGAGGACTTCCCTCTTATCCTATGATGGCTTACTTTTCAAAAGTCAATTTAAATTTAAATACATTTTTTTTTATTATATTTTTTTAGAAATCTAGACCGGTTATGTGTTTTGGTGTAACTTGCATTATCCTTATGTTAAATTTGCATTATCCTAACAAAACATTTACTTTATTCATATCTCTTTTATATATCTCATCGGCCCTGACACACACACCCTGTAAATTCGAACACCCCACCTAATTTCAATTCCTGGGGAAACCACTGCAACAAAGTATCCACAGGGGCCTTTGCAATGGAGATGGGGTCGCCACCGAGTATCGCGTCCAGCTCTTTGTAGAACCGGCAGCTCGTCAGCGCAGCACTGGAGCAGCAGTTTGTCTCACACGCCTTGTGGTAGGCATTCCGCAGCTCCTTCGCTTTGATCCTGCACTGCAGTGTGTCCCAGTCATGGCCCCTTTCTATCATGCATCTAGAAATCTGTCCATAGGTATCATAATTCCAACAGCTAGAGCGCAGCTGTGACTGCACGGCCTTCTTTCCCCAAATGCTGATGAGGTCCAGCAGCTCAGCATTGCTCCAAGCAGGGGATCACCTGGTGCGAGGAGCAGGCATGGCCACCTGGAAAGATGCGCTGAGACCACTGCGCGCCTCACCGAGCAAACAGGAAGGGGACTTTCAAATTTGCAAAGGAATGTATGGAGCCAGGCTGATGGTTGGTCACCTCAGGTCAGGGCAGTAGGGTTCAAACTGATGACCAGAGAGGTGAGAACAGGCATTGTGGGACACCTCCTGGAGGCCAATCGCAGCGCTGTAATCACCACGGTGTCTACACTGGCACCGCAGCGCTGTAGCCCCGGCGCAGAAAGCTGTATGCCTCTCATCAGGGTGGTTTTTTGTTTGTTTGTTTTTTTTTTTAAAGAGCGCTGCATCTGCGCAGTTTCTGCAAACAAAGTGGCTTGGCAGTGTGTACACCTCAGGAGTTACAGCGCTCGAAGCTGTTTTATTGTGCACAAACTTGTCAGTGTAGACGGGGCCTTTTTTATTATTTTGGTTGCAAGTATGACTGCTATTGCTGTAGGACAACATCTATAACTCAGTACAAAATCTGTTCTAATTGTGATGAGGCAGATACCTGAAACTATTTGATGATTGAGTGTAAAACAAGATAGTAACATCTTTTCATTATTGCTGTGGCCTGGATCTGAAACAATGATGAAGAAGATAAAAGCTCCATCTCATCATCATCAGTTCATTTAAACTACAAATGCCATTTAGATAGATCAGACTGTAATTACTGGAGTAGAAACTTGCTTAGGACAGTGTGACTAATACTCCCATTCTTGTTTTAAAAGATTAATTAAATAGTCTCTTGGGTTGTTCAGTAATAGGTGTGGCAGTGCATTGGTTTTGGCTTTCTTATGTGAAACCCCTTTAACACCACAGTGCTCCCCTGACTGAGTTCTGACTGAGGAGTATGTCATTGACTACCAACAACACCATTTTCTCTAACACCATTAATTACATTGCTATTGATAGAATTGGGGATGTCTTTGATTGCTGATGGCCCAAGTTTGGCTGACGGAGGTGAAACTTTGAGTTATCTACAGGCACGTCTTCACTAGCACGTTAAAGCGCTGCCATGGCAGCACTTTAACATGGCTGTGTAGTCTCAGCATCAGAGCTGGGAGAGAGCTCTCCCAGTGCTGTAAAAATACTACCCCCACGAGGGGAGTAGCTACCAGCGCTGTTGCACTGTCTACACTGGCACTTTATAGCGCTGAAACTTACAGCGCTCGGGGGGGGGGGAGGGGGCTGTCACTTCCCTGAGTGAGAAAGTTGCAGGGCTGTAAACTGCCAGTAAAGACAAGCCCTACTTCTCTAGTTCCCCTGCCAGAAAAGGGTAGACTATGGTAGAACATTTCTCTCTCTCTCCTATTCGCTGCCAGGGTGGGAAATTAGCCTATCTCTGATTTGCCAAGCCTGTACAGAACCCCGAAGAATTTGCTTACTCTTTAGCCCAGCCCTGTTTTATGGAGGTAACCTTTTCTAAAGCTAGGATGGATTGTTTGCCCACCTTGAGCTAGCTCTGATGAATGAGCCCCTTGAAATATTGTGTATAGTTTGCTTACTAGGTTCACTTTCCACTGTGCTCCTAAATGCACTATTAAGGTCCTGATCCAGAAAAGATTCAAACTATTCTTGCAGAAAGTTAAGCATGTACATGAGTCTTTGCAGAGTTATAGTCCAAGTTTACTATTCAGAGTAGACCTGAAAGAAGTGACAAAATATACCACCAAGCAATTAAAATTTGTAAAGCTGCCAGAGCTATCTGAACTACCTTAGCTGTATAACTGTGAACAATTACTAAATGTGAACATCTACATTCATTGAGTTTAAAGAATGATTATTTTATTTTTACAGTACTTAAATTGTAGGTCCATGGTCCAGCAGATTTTGTAATTTTAATTAGTGCCTAAGTACTGGTACAGGCTGATACTTGAGAAATTCCATAACAGAAGTGGGAGAGGCTGCTCTTATGCTGTGTGCAGTACTGTATTATCTGCTCTGCAAAGCTCTATTTTGAATCATATGAGTAAGTTCTGAATTTTAAACAGGAAATATCTGCTGGGAGTTTTAGACAAAAGAACCTTCATTCTGAGGAAACTAGATTAGAAGTTAGGAGCTCACAGTTCTAGTCACAGAAAAATATTAACCTATCTCTATATCAATGAAGAAATATTAGATTTGACTATTTAGTTTTTGACTCCAAGGCACTCGAGCCACACGAGAAGTGAGAAATCAAGTTACATCAGGGCAATAAAACAGAAGCTGCTCTTGCAACTCTCTCTATAAAAAAAATATACGTAAGCCTTGATCCTGCAAGTAAAAGCATGTGGCTGTATCCTTGTGCCCCCTCAAAGCCCCATTGCAGAAAATGGGGCTCTGTCCCTGCATTGTAATTTGTAGGATCAGCCCTGTGATTGTGTCCTAGGGCCAAGATTTTCAAAAACAGGAGCCTAAAATTAGGTTCCTAAATCCATATTTGGGCACCTAAATTAGTGAGTTGATTTTCAAAAGTGTGGCGTGCCCAGTAACTCCCATTTGAGGGTTTACCTGCTGTGAGATTAGAAGCCACTTTAAGTTCCTGGTTTTTGTTTTGGTTAATTCACTTTGGAAGGGGTCCTTGTTAAACAACACTTAGTTGTATAGATCCTAGAAATATGGTAGGGTGCTTAACAGAAATAAATGCTGTTCTCAGAGTGCTTTTTAGGGAAATTTTAGAGTATTAGGTACTGGGGTGATTTACTACTGAACCAATGCCCCATCCGTTGGGTTAGCTGTGTTAGGGACATTGTGCCATTTCAGGTACTGTTTTTCAGCCAAAGCATAAAATCATTTTGATCATTGATAAATTTGTGGTAACTTTCTATGAAGCCAACTGTCCTAGCTAAATTCCAGTTTGGATAATTACATTCTATCTGCTTAGGTTCTTAAGACAGCCATCGCTATGCTATCTAAATACCTGTTCTGCCTAGCTACATTCCCCTTGCAGTTTCAATGGCACAGGGAATATTATATTGAAATCCTAGAGAATGAAAGGCACTGTCTACTTCTAGATAATGTTTATTTGTAACCCACTGCTAGTGTTAATGTGCACACTTATCCTATGATAATACTTTTTTTAAGGGACTAGAATGTCTTATCTACATACAAACAAAAGTTCCACTCAGATATGTCCGCCCTCTAATCAAGTGTACCATTTTTGTTCTCTGTTTTGTCTACTTTGAATATAAGGTCATTGGGGGCACTTATCTAATCTTCCTTCTCTGTAACGCTGATTACATTGTTGGCACTCAGTACATAATATTAATTACCAGAATATGCCTTGCTCAAGTTGCTATTGCTATATCAACATGCAAATATGTGTAATAAATAATAATAAAGATGGGTGATGTTTTTCCATCTTGGTATGTTAGAGCAAGGGAATCAACTTCTTCTGACTAATTCAAGCAATTAGATTGTCTAATCACCAAACATTCAATTCACTTCATAACAATAAGCCTCAAAGTTAATAGCATTACTTACGTGCATTGAGTGGACATACAGCTAGAAAATAATCCGTTTCTAAGAGGCAATTACACTAGGTATGTGTACACAAAAGAGGCACATTGCCAAGGTCCTGTGTGGAAGTCTATTCTTCTATTGGCTATGTTGTACCTGTTATGATAGAAAAAGGAGTTTTTAGTATTCATGGTTGTCAATCGGGTTCCTCTTACCTTTGCCGTGTTTAATTTTAGAAAAGATTAAAAGTTGTTAGTGAAAAGTTGTAAGAAAAGCACCACAAAGAAGTTAATATCTAGTAGGCTCATGCTCTAGGACAGTGGTTTTCAAACTGCAGGTCTTAGGTCACGGAATGGAAGGCACTGGGTTGCAGCGGCTCTGGTCAGCACCGCTGACTGGGTCATTAAAAGTCCTGTCTGCGGTGCTGCCTGGCTAAGGTAGGCTAGTCCCTACCTGTTCTGATACTGCGCTGCGCCCCGGAAGCAGCCAGCAGCAGGTCTGGCTCCTAGGCGCGGGGACCACTGGACTCTGTGCGCTGCTCCCACCCTGAGCACTGGCTCTGCACTCCTATTGGCTGGGAACTAGCCAATGGGAGTTGGGGGGTGGTGCCTGCAGGCGAGAGCTGTGTGGAGCTGCTTGTGTGCCTCCACCTAGGAGCCAGACCTGATACTGGCCACTTCTGGGGCGCAGCAGTGTCAGGACAGGCAGGAAGCCTGCTTTAGCACTCCTGCTGTGCCACTGACCGGGAGTCATCCAAGGTAAGCCCACGTCCCGACCCCGTGCCCCAATCCCATGCCTCAGCCCTGAGCTCCCCCAAACCAGGAGCCCCTTCCTGCACCCCCAGCCCAAAGCCCTGACCCCCTTCCCTAGCCCTGGGCCCCCAAACCAGAGCCCACTCCTGCATCCCAAGACTCTCATCCCCAGCCCCACCCCAGAGCCTGCACCCCCCCAGCCCAGAGCCATGGCCCCCTCTCACACCCCAATCTGTTGCTCAGAGCCCCCTCCCACCCTGAACCCCTCATTCCCAGCCTCACCCTGCAGCCCTCACCTCAATCCTCTGCCCCATCCCCAAGCCCTACCCACACCCCAAACTCCTCATCCCTAGCTCTGGGTTGCGGGCATCAACAATTTTCTTCAACTGGGTCACCAGAAAAAAGTTTGAAAACCACTGCTCTAGGACAAGAGTAAGTACCCTTGACTCAACTACACACCACACCAC